GTGTAAGAGTGAGAGAGAGTGAGAGAGAGAGGCAGACAGAGAGAGAGAGAGAAAGAGAGAGAGTTCAGAATCTGGTACTGCTAGGCCACCTTTCTACACATTTTAAAAAATTGATTCCCTTGATATTCTTGACCTTTTGTTCTTCCAGATGAATTTTGTGATGATTTTTTCTAGGTCTATAAAATAATTCTTTGGTAGTTTGATTGGTATGGCACTGAATAAGTAAATTAACTTAGGTAGAATTGTCATTTTTATCATATTGGCTCAGCCTACCCATGAGTAATTAATATTTCTCCAATTGTTTAGATCTGTCTTCATCTGTGTGAATTGAGTTCATATAGTCCCTAGGTTTGTCTTAGCAGGTATACTCTCAAGTATTGTATACTATCTGCAGTGATTTTAAATGTAATTTCATTTTCTATCATTTCTTTCTTGGTTTTCTTAGTAGTATATAGAAATGCTGATAATTTATGTGTGCTTATTTTATATCCTGCAACTTTAGTAAAGTTAATTGTTTCAACTAGCTTTTTAGTTGATTTTCTAGAGTTCTCTAATTATACTATCATATTATCTGCAAAGAGTGATAGTTTTATTTCCTCATTTTCTATTTTTATTCCTTCAATTTCTTTTTTGTCTTATTGCTATAGCTAGTATTTCTAGTACAAAACTGAATAATAATAGTGCTAATGGACATACTTGCTTCACCCCTGATCTTATTGGGAGGGCTTCAAGTTTATCCCTATTACAGGTAATGCTTACTCTTGGTTTTAGATAGATGCTACTTATCATTTTAAGAAAGATTCCATTTATTTCTATGCTTCCTAGTGTTTTTAATAGCAATGAATGTTGTATTTTGTCAAAAGCTATCTATCAATATAATCATATGATTTTTGTTGGTTTTGTTATTGACATGATCAGTTATGCTTATGGTTTTCCTAATATTGAACCAGCCCTGCATTCGTGGTATAAATCCCACCTGGTCATATATCCCAAGATATCTAGCTCTAAATCCCATCCTCTTAAAAACTTTATAGCAATCATGATCTCAGTCAAAGTAAAAGCAAAAATAGACCTAATTAAAGAATATAATCAGGGAAACTACACCTTGCTAAAAGCTACCATAGACATTGAAATATCAACAATAAAAATTTACACCAAATGGCATAGCATTCAAATTCTTTTTTTTTTTAAATTTTCACATTAGTCATGTTGTAAAGAAAGATTAGAACCAATGGAAGGAACCATGAGAACCATTCCACTTAGATGCCTCAAAGAAGACACACAATTTGTAAGTGTCAAGAAAAGAACTCAAATCTATATCTTTTGATGCCAAGTTTGGCATTCCTTTCACTACTCCAAACTGCCATCCAAGTAGTTCTGATTTAAAACACACACACACACACACACACACACACACACAACAGTCTGAGAGATGTATGGAATTTAAGATGTAAGAGAAAATTTTAAAAAGAAGATTAGATACAAAAGTTCTTTATAATTTCTTTTCTTTGTAGAGTTGGAATATTAACACATGAACATAGTGACAGTATGACCATTCTATTTAATTAAATTCAATTCAAGTCTCAACACAGATGAAACTATTTTTAGATGAGATTTAGCACCAAATTACTGGTGATTTCTCTGTCTTCTTCATTTTCCCTTAATAGTATCTGTTAATTTCTATATCATATCCATGAGTCTCTTTTCACTCTCTTACGGTAAGGCAAAAATATGCATCATCTCTAATCTACGCCACATTAAAAAACCCAATCTATTAATGTTTTAGATTAGTATTCTAAGAATTTATTTTAGAACCACTATTCTTACTTTAATTTTTAATGGATAATTGCATGGAATTATGTAGAAAAGTTGAAGATCATCACTGGATCATAGACTTAGAGATAGAATGGCCATTGATTCTTCAATCCAACACCCTCATTTTGCAGAAAAGAAATCTGAGGTTCAGATTCACCAGGCAACTTGTCTAAGGTCACATAGGCAATATGTTGCAGATCCTGGATGTTATCCCTTGTCCTCTGAATAAGTCCAGTGCATATGCACTGTTCATTCCACCACACTTCTATTTATGGCTCAGTAATTAATAACATAACATAATGACTACTTGGCAATGAAGTTGTTTGAGACAGCTTGGATTACTCATGAATTAAGTTAAAGAATCTTGTGAATTCAAACCAAGAAATAAAACAAAAAAATTTCACTTAAAATTACATGGATAATTGTTTCAATTTTCCAATTTGCAAGAATAGGAACAGCCTAATTCTTTTGGACCTTTGAAAGTGTCTAACGCATGGAACAGTGGAGAAGTAGGATAGCAAAGCAAAGATCCTGACTCCCAAAAAAGCTTTTTTTCAAATATTCACAAATATTCTATTGAATTATAAACCTTGTTTTCAGACATCTATTGTTACAGTTCATGGTTGAGAGTGATTGATTTCATCCACTTTAAAAATGAAAAAGTAGATGAATTTCATGGCTGCTTTCAGATGATAATGTGATTCTGTGATCCTTAAAGGGAAAGAAATAAAGAACTTAAATAATTGTAAGAATATTCAGTTCTCATGACTGAGTAGTACCAATATATTAAAATGACAATGCTGCTGAGGTTAATTTACATGTTTAGTGACATACCAAACTATCAAAGAGATATTTTAGACAGTTAGACTAAATAATAAGAGATTCATTGGAAAGGACAAAAAACCCCTAGACCATCAAGGGGAAGATGAAAAAAGTAGGAATTAAGGAGAAATAACACTTCCAGATCTCAAACTGTATTATAAATCAGTAACCATAAAAAAAACCATTTTGTACTAGTTGAAATAGAAAAGTAGATGAATAGAAAAGACTAGACAAAGAAGAACTGAAAGTAATTGAGCCCATTGTCTCAGTTTTCTATATACATCAACAAATTGTCTAGGATAGAACTCCCTATTTGAACAGAGTTTCTAGGAAAACTAGAAATCAATTTTGCAGAAATTAAGTTTAGATTAATATATTACACCAAATATCACAGTAAATTCAAAATGGAAAAGTGACCTGGTTATTAAAGGTCATACCACAAAAACCAAGTAGAAGAAAAGTAAATCATAAACATTTCACAGCTATGGTTAGGGGGTGAATTCTTAACCAAACAGATAAAGAGGACTACAAAAGATTTTTAAAATTTTTTATATAAAATGTAATTAGCATAAGAAGGGAATCATTCAATTGGGAAAATCTCTGTATCAGATACCTCTCATAAAGGTCTGATATTTAAGCTATATTGTTGTTCCTTTGTTTTCTAGTCATGTCCAACTCTTTGTGACTCCATTTTGGGTTTTCTTGGCAAAGATACTGGAGTGGTTTGCCACTTCCTTCTCCAGCTCATTTTACAGATGAGGAAACTGAGGCAAACAGATTTAAGTGAAATTACCCAGGGTCACATAGCTAGTAAGTGTCTGAGGTCACATTTGAACTCAGGTCTTCCTGACTCCAGGTCTGGTGCTCAATCCACTGTGCCACCTAGCTGCCCACTTAAACAATATGGATGACTAAAAGAAATATATAAATGTGTAAGACTAGAAGAAGTCCCTAACAGATAGTCAAAAGGCAAGAACAAACAGTTCTGAAAAGAACTGCAAACTTTTGGCAACCATATGAAGCAATGATCCAAATTATTACCAATAAGAGAATTACAATCCCTGAAGTGTCACCTCACATCTAGTAAATTGGCAAAAATGACATAAGATGGGCATAGCTAACGTTAGAAGAGTTAGCAGAAAGACATGCACACTCAGCCATCATTGGTGGGGCTTTAAATTAGTCCAGCTATTCTGGGAAGTAATTTAGAATTCTGCAAAAAGTGACTTAAAAGTCCAAATTCTTTGACCTACAGATTCCATTGCTAGGTATACACCTCAAAGGTCAGTGACAGAAAGACTCTTCTTCCCCTCACCCTAGACACCAAAATATTTGTAGCAACACTTCTTGTGGTAGGAAAGAAGTAGAAACAAATAACATTCCCTTTGACTAGGGAATGGTTAAACATATCATGGTAAGTTAACATGTATATGTGGTCTAAAAGTGCTGTGTTCTTACCATCTTCTGTCGTCTTTTCCATCACCCTGAGTATACATAGGAAATAGACTATATTCCATAATAAAAATATACTGTAGCAATACAATGGAACTAGCTGTGCAGAATTTAGAACCATTATGTACTTTTTTCATGGATTACTATGGATCTACAATTTATTATCAAGTAACCAGACTCCTAGTGCTGAACATCTATATTTAGCGAGGTAAGCTCTCAGAAAGTACATATAGTTTGTTGATAGGACCATATTGCGTAGCAGAAAATATCAGAGCTTCATCTTCACCAGAGGTGGGAAGGACCAGGAACTCTTCCACACCATGATGAGGAATTGGAGTAGGATGTTGTGGGGGCATTTACAGCCATAATTTTTAACAATGACTTCTCACTGTATAGCTATATAACTAATAGCTATAGCCTTGGTTCTTAATGTAATAAAATTCACAGTTTTAAGTCAAGCTGAAAACTCTATGATGCTACCTCAACCTCCACAGTCACTGAAGGATAATTTAGAATTTAAACCTAAGATCAGTTTCCCGTAGACCAACAAAAACCTTTGAACTGGATATACTGAAGATGGATAGGACACTAACTGATCAACCAGATTAAAGGAGAGAGATGGAAAGTGGCTCAGAATTGGAGAATGAGAAGGGGACCTAAGAGATTGGTTCAAGCCCCTCCTTTTCGTGATGAGGAATCCTGGGCCCAGACAGGTTTTATGTGGTGTTCCTCTACCACTCAGGTAACATAATTTTTAAGAATTACTTACCTGTGCACAAAAAAAAATCACATATTTTTGATGTAAAGGAAACATTCTCTATTCAATTACTATTCCAGGAAGATGGCATTACTGAAAATAAGATACATATGACAATGACATCACTCCCTGTCATAAAGTCTTTAGTGTCATTTATCTTAGAATTGGAAAAATAAAGCTGTCATTTAATAATTTCTTCCACAAGGGTGACTATGTCATAATCCCTTCTGCCCAGTGAATGCGTCTTCTCCATAGTCTTGATCAACATAATTATTCCTGTTTTCAACTGTTGACTTAACTTCCTAAAAATGTAAAACAAAAGAATTTTTAGGACTCATGCAGTTAGGAAAACCTTTTCTTCTATAACATTAGCATAAAGGTCACTAAGCAAATACTATAAAAATGTGCACTCTATATCAGAGATGTCGAAATTGCAGCAACCGAATTAAAATGTTACTGGGAAATGTTTAATAAAATAAATTAAAATACCAAATAAGTACCTTCCAATTTTAATACTCAAGATTACCATCATTACACTTAATACTAATACTAAACACGCTATATGAATAAATTTAAAAGCTAGGTTTGCTCTTGCTGATCAAGGATAAACAATTCCTACAGAACCCTATGGAGGAAACAACAGAACCAGGAGAATCAAACGAACTTTTTTTTTTCTTCAGAACATCTGGGTAATCTCAAAACAAGCCATGACAAGAAGCTTCCAGTTTGATATACCAGTTGGATATGTCCACTGGGAATTTAAAAATTAAAAGAGTTGAAGGTGGAAGTCAATTTCTCTCTGCAGGGAAAGAAATGGACCCACCAGAACTGGAGGAGTCATCATCACTCGTTCCGGGGTAAGAGGAATAGGAGTCCTCCCAGTGGAAGCATTTATACTGTGTGGGTATCTTTGACGGTCAAAACTATAAGCAAATGGAAGAATCTTATTAAAGAGAATATTTAACATCGCAATTTCATCCTTAGTGGAAACTCTTGAAATAGCAGCAACCCAGGTGTATCAAGGCTGTGAAATAATAACTATTTCCTTCAAACAGGGCATTTTGGGGGGAAGGCACTTATGATATCTTGGGCAAAATATTTATCTGCAGTACCTGGAACCAGAGATGTATACTGATGTACCAACTTGACGTCTTATTCATTTGTTGTTTTTGTTGTGCAGTCGTGTGTAACTCTTCATGACCCCATGGACCATACCATCAATAGAGTTTTAAATAGTATTTTAAAAGGTACAGTAGAAATATGGGCTTAGCCTGGTAAAACAAAAATACTGGAGTGGTTTGCCTTTTCCTTCTCCAGGGAATTAAGACAAGCAGAGGGTAAGTGACTTGCCCAGGGTCACATGATTAGCAAGTATCTGAGACCAAATTTGAATTCAGGACTTTCTGATTCCTGGTCCAGCATTCTGTCCCCTGAGCCACCTAGGTACCTCCTGTTGAATCACATTCTTAATCCATTTGGTTTTTCCTACCTATATTGTTTCAAACATGGCACCTGAAGCATATTTCCAATGATTCCCTATGTTCATAAAATAGCATAAAGGCTCTTATTCAGGAAAAGTATGAATAGAAAAGGGAGCAGTCTGGCCATATAGTGAGAGTGATGGACAATAGTAGGTAGACCATTAGAGTGTTTGTGGTATTGGTGTCCACAAAATGGAAGAAGACCTAGAAGAAGGTCTCCAACCCATTAGATAAGAATCTCTATATAGGTATGATCTACATTGGAAGAGTACGAACAAGAGTCATACAGGGTGTGAAGGAGTGTTTGGGTTGTGACTAGTACTTGGAAGAAATGCCCTCATCGGTGAAATCATAGATTCATTGGAACATTAAAACAAAGTGAAAAGTAACACAGGATCATAGATTTAAAGCTTTAAAGAAACTCAGAAACCATCTTGTCTAACACCGTCATTTTACAGAGAGGGCAACTAATGCCCAAAGAGGTTAAGTGGCATGACTGTGACTCCAAATCCAGGGTTCTTTTGACTGTACCACCCTGCCTCCATATAGATAGATAGATAGATAGATAGATAGATAGATAGATAGATAGATATTTCTATACACACACAAACATACACACACACACACACACACACACGCGACATGTATTGATTTTTTCAAAGTCTAGCAAACATCCTGTGAAGCTATGCATTTGGAGAAGCTTGGGGGAAATGAAGATCTAGTGACTACTTTCAGAAGCAAGTATTTGGCTGAGGAGCATGAAATCCATGTTGGGCTAGAAATGAGTGTTATTTCAGAATCTCTATCTGGAATCATTTTTACTGGGCCAATAAAAAAGCAATGACTTCGCAGGCTTTGCAGTCAGGAAATCTTGACTTTGTCCATGCTCTGTCCATTCTCAGAAAGCACCTGCTTATGTGCAAAATGCTCAGGAACCAGTATGGTATATATAGTTCAATATATACAGTGAATTATGTTTTAAATCTTCAAAGACCTGTGGTTTTGTTGGTGTAGATGCTTTTTGTTTTTAAATCACCACTGGTTTTAATGTTTCTGTTGCAGTCTTTGAGAGGTGCTATGGCCAAAAGCAATTCATCTCCTTGTGGCCAACCTGCTGCTAGCTGGGTCTGAATGACACCTACTAGTCTGTCACTGGTCCTAGAGCAAGTCCTCCTCTGGTCTGGCCTTCAAGAGCCCAGGGTCACCTCAGTGTCAGAAAGGAAATAGCTTTCCATGTTAATGTTTGTAGAAGACAAGGTAAATTAAACCTAACAAATAATTATCCCTATACTCCTGTGTCATAAGAGAAATGAGACCTGGGAAGAAATGTGAATGTGGGCCCAAAGTAACAGAATCAAAACACAGGTTCTCTAACTTCTAAACTCATATGGATAGAGGGACAGGGACAAAACCATGATTGTTTTCCATATAAGGACATGGGGAAATCTCCTCCACAAATGCAAACTGACACCTTCTCTGCAACTTTCAGTCTTGGAAAATTATTTAAGGCACCGTGAAGACAAGAGCCTTGACCAGTGTTCCATAATATATATCTGGCTGAGGCAGAACTTGAACCCAGATTTTGTTTGGTCCTAAGGCTATCTTTCTATCTATCTGTTTTACCAGGCTAAGCCCATATTTCTACTGTACCTTTTAAAATACTATCCTACAGACTCATTCTATACCTACCAAGAGGCCAGGATGAAGTTGGATGTTTTCAAGTCTGAGATGTCTTCATTTGACAGTGCAAGTAGCCTTTTTTGTCCTCTTGTCTTTTAAGGATTTGCTTGTAAGATGGTATTATTTCTGAGATTTGGGAATGAAAACTAAAAACATAAGATACCAAGTCTCCTTCATCATTTTTCATATTACATGAAATGAATAGTAGAACACTGGGAAGCAGACATGTAGTCTTAAAATTCTGGTCATCCACGATATTGAATTGTATGGGTATAGATGGATTTGGGGGATTTTTTAAAAACTATGTGTTATTAGAGATTTCATTAAATATCTATGGAAATGGTTAACTTTTTTTTCTTCTTCCGTTTCATAGTAATCCCAGATCAGGTCTATCAATTGATTACTGTAATTTAGCTGAAGACAGTGAACAGGACAACAACTTATACGTGTACATATATAGATATATGTGTGTGTATATATATATATATATATATATATATATATATACATACACATATATATAGTGTGTGTGTTTATATATCTATATCTATATCTATATATATCTATATAGATATAGATATAGATATAGATATAGATATAGATATAGATATAGATATAGATATAGATATAGATATAGATATAGATATAGATATAGATATAGATATAGATATAGATATAGATATAGATGCTTTCCTCCCTTCACCTCAAAAGAGTTTAAAGGGCATCTCATTATTTCCTTCATCTTTACAACATCCCATGTAAAAGGCAGAAGTGAGTCTATGTGTACTCACATATGTATATATAGATATGCACAAGTGTCATGTGTATACACATGTATACACATACAATTGTAACTGATGGACATTTTGAAGCAGGAAGAGATGATGCAATAATATCTTATATAAAGAGCCAAGACTAGGACTGGACCTTCTGTATTTCTGATTCAGTACACTGTCTCAATCATCAAAAATACTTACATGCTATTTTCAAATTTCACTTTCTAGCATTTTTCTCTCTTCTGTTCAAGGACATACTCACACATCCATGGCTTCTTTGTTTCTGTCCTGTTTGCAATTGGGGTTCCTCTTTTTTTTTTGGACCAGCATTTACACTGGGAGAAGTCCAGGTGATGCTGTGCCTCTGTTTGTTGATGGCCAACACGGAATGCTACTTTTGTCCTCTGGGGTCTCATTGGCTGCTTATGGTCACTTAGAAACAGGACATTCAGCTTCTAGGAATAAAGGACATGTTCATTTTCATTTTATCCTTTTGCATTGGGAGAAGAATGTTAGAAACAGGTTTCTATGTGCTAAATTTGGTCTACAAGAAAAGACTGGCCAAAAAGAATCATATGTTTGGTTATCTGAGTTGAGGAAACTGTGCCCCATTGGAACTGTGATGGGTTTCACCTACTGTCCTCTGTTGCTATTAAATGAGGAGTGGTCTTGTTATATAACTGAATGATGATGGGATGGAAGAAGAGAAAGAAATGAGACAACAGAACCCAAGGTAGTCTCAGAAACCAAAGGCTGATCAATCCAATCTGCTTCCTTTTCCTATTCCCTATCCACCAAAATAACCAGAACCATAAAATAATGAACTATAAACTACAAAATAAATTATTTGAATAGGGCATTCATTTTTTATTCTCCCTCTTTTCTATATATAGTAGAACCTTAGTTGTAAGGTCTCCTTGAGGGGAAAGGATGTGAAAAGGCACTGTGTTATTAACATTAGCCTTCCTCCAAGGAGGCACATACCAAACCTCCATCTCTGCCCCTCCCTCCCCACCTGTCCTGAATTTAACAGATTGTTGCTCTTTCTAGATCAGTGAACTACTAACCAGATCACGGGCATTACACTCTTTATCCACATCTGCAAAATGGTCATTTCTCTCAAGCAGTCTTCCCAGGTTAGCACCAAACCGAGAAAAGCAAATTCAGAAGAAAGTAATCAGGTCTTTCACCCCTTGAATACACAGCAGCTGTTGAAATAATAGCTTAAATATTTCTTTTTGCTTTGACCAGGCATTGCTTTAAAAGAAACAAGCCTGCAGCAATAAAGCTTTTTTTTTCCTTGAGCATTCTTGAAAGTGTATTGGGCATATGAAAATGCTGCTGTCTTTGATCAACAGCAACTGTATGAGAAATCAGAACTCTCCAACGAGATGTCATAATGAACTAGATATGGACAAATCAGTCAGAAAGTTATGGTCCCAAATCCACTGCTATAACATGTGTGTCGTTTATCAGCTCCATGCCCAGGCTGCCTATTTCTACATTGTCTCTAGGGCTTGGGTTCATAATGAAATAGGCTGGGAATCCATTACAAACCTGGACAAGCTCTAAACTAGGAGCTCTGGGCAGAAAGATTGGTGGTCCTAGGGATGGAGACTGTGAAGTGGATACAATAAGGATCTTCTTCTGGGAGAACTTCTTAGTACTCTACCGATGGAGATCAGAACGTCGGTAGGGATGCCATGCTAAAATAAGTATACCTCCCAAGAGTGTAGACTAGACTGAGTCCCCAGAGGTAAGCTAGTAAGTAGGATTTTGATTCATCAATTCAGTTCAAAATTTGATTTCATTCAACAAATCATTTGAAATACATATTGTAGGCAAAGAAGGGGGATGGTGATTAATAAGAGGAGCCCCTCAGATTGCTTATTATTTAGTTGGGTGAGAAGACACATAGACAAATTCAAAACACAAAGCAATAGAAACAATATCTATAATATTCTTATTAAAAAAACAGACAAGCAATGGGTTGAAAGAAATAAATATGCCTTGCTGTTAGAAATCAAATTAAATTCTCTCTCACACACACAAACACACACACACACACACACACACACACACACACACAAATCTCTGTACTATTTGTATTCCTACTTTACCAATACACAATAATGCTGGCTAAGTACCTTAGAAAAGGGTAAAATGAATGCTACTAAGAATTCCTAAATCTATTGAGTTAATATATTAGAACTCAGAATCATAGTATTTAGATCTGAAAGAGAATGGAAAAGAACAAGAATTTATTAACACCTACCTCACAAAATGTCTAGGAGTTAAGTGACTTGCCCAGGGTCACGTGGCTAGTAAGTGCCTGAGGTCAAATTTGAACTTGGGTCTTTCTACTTCAGGGCCAATGCATTATCCATTCTGGCTCCTAGCTGCCTCAGGAGAGAGTTTGGAGATTGAGAAGTAGTAGAAAGAGCATGGACTTTAGAGCCAGAAGATATAGCTAGGTTAGAATCCTAGCCCTACTATATATATATATTACTGTCTGTGACTTGTACAAATTGCCAGACTCTCGTACATCTGTTTTCTCTTTTGTGATAAGTGGGGTGGGGAGTTCAACTAATTGACCTCTGAGGGCTTTTTATCTCTTAATCTAAAAAAGTACAGATTTGATCATTTTACCCTACACGCCATTCAGTGAAATCCAATGGCTCCCTATTACCTCCAGGATGAAATAGAAAATCTTCTCTGTGGCTTGTAAAGCCCTTCACATAACCTGGCCCCTTTCTATTTTTTCAATCTTGTTCTCCTCCACATACTCTGGGATGGTGACCCTGGCCTTCCTTGCTATTTCTCACCAACCACACTGCATCTCCCAATTGTGCATTTTCAGTGGCTGAACTCTGTGTCTGGAATGCTCTCCTTCCTCTTGTCCAGCTCTTGGCTTCTTCAAGATCCCAGCTAAAATTATACCTTCTGCATGAAGCCTTTCCTGATCCCCCTTATAATAGTGTCTTCCCTCTAACATTATCTCCAACTTATCATGTCTATATCTTTTTTGTACCTAGTGGTCTGCATTTTATCTCCCCTATACCTTGAGCTCCTTGAGAGCAGGGACTGTTTTTTGCCCCTTTTTGTATCTTTAGTGTTTAATCCACTGCCTGACATATGGTAGGCACTCCACTTTTAAATGACTGGGCCGTAAACACTGAAATGTCATTCACATATCACTAGAGAAGGGATTCTTTAAACTTGGTATCATTGATTCCCCTTTGAAAAGTCTGGTGAAGTCTATGGACCCATTCTCTGAATAAGATTTTTAAATGCATAAAATAAAATACACAGGATGACAAAAATAGTAAACTATACTGAAAGCCATGATCTCCAGGTTAAAAACCTCTAATCTAGGTTAATCTTTATATTTTAAAGATGCAGAAATTGATTCTCATGGTTGAATGATATGCATAATTCCCTTAGATTTCCTCTAAGAAAGGAACGAGTAGACCCTGTGCTATTTGGGAGAGGGGAGTGTAAATCATGGAAGGCTTCCTGAAGTTGATGAAGATTGAGCAAGCCTTTGAAAAGACAGAGAAACAGCTTTTCAAGTGGGGGAAATAGTAAGTGCAAAGTCCTAGAGACAGGTGGGCAGTCACAAATATAGAGAGAGAAAAAGGAAAAGGCAGGAAAACAAGCATATTTGCTCAATGGAATGGAAGGGGAAATGTGGTTGGTAGAGAGAAAGGTTGTCTAAGAGATAATTCTCTGGGTTGCTTCTGAAACAATTTTAATGCCATTGACAATTCTAAATTATTATATGAGAAGATGGCAACAGCCACAGAAACAATCCCTATTGGATATTTTGGCATATATAAAAATAACCCAGGTCTACTTGCTTCTCCCTGAGAGTGAATCTCCAGACTGGTCACAGATTGAATGGGAAATCCCCAGGCACTTCCTATAAGATGTCTGGCTGCTTGTAGGCCTTACAAGAACCCAGTGGTACTTCTAAAGTCCCCATTAACTGAGATGCTTAATGAGGATATTCAGAGTCACCCTTGACACTCCCCATTTGGTCCAGCTACTGAGTCCCACACTGTGCTGGTTTGTAACATCCCACACCATTCAGAGGCCTCTCACTGAAGAACAATGTGCAAAGCAAACAAACTTTGAGAGCCTCATCTCAGGGCTCAACCTCAAAAGCTGACTCTTCTTTAAAAAAGTAGCTTAGTGATTCTGTACCTGTCTTCCCAAATGATTTGAGAAAATGCCAGATGATGTGTGCATCCAAACTTTTTTTTTTAATGGCCTTTTTGATACTTTCACATTTTAGTGTTTGAAAGTTGCATTAGCTTAAAAAATCAGGATAGTATTTGCCTCTCAAGCATGGCATGGTACAACAAAGCCAAATGAAGGTATCAGAAGCACACTCCCCACTCCAAAACAAAACAAAACAGGTTTATGGTGAGGAAACACATACTACTATCTATATAAGGTCATATTATGGGCTTATTGAGGTTTGCATTAAGGAAAAATATAATACAATCTACATAAATGTCCTAGAACGTGAGCTCAAGACAAGGCCTGTATTTTGCCTTTCTTTGTATCCCTAGCACCTAAAGCAGAACATAGCAGGTCCTTAAAATAAGTGACTGTTGACTGATCTAAGGAAAAATGAAGTGAAATTGTTATATCCAGTGTGATGTGCCAAACCCTGCCACTATGCACCTCAGCACTCCCCAGGTGGGTTTTGATATAGAGTTCTCTGAAAAAAAATACCATTATTAAATTAATTTATTCCAAAAGCATAAGGGAACATTTACACTTTTAAAAGGTAATAAAGAATTATTTTCCAGAAAAGAAATAAATCAAACACACGAAATTTTCATTCTCATGAAATAAAAGGAACCCTCCTACTGTGTGCATCTATTGCTTTTTGAAGTCACCCAGTCAGTCAACAAGGATTTATTAAGTGTTTAATGATAAAACAGTCACTGTGCTGGCATTCTGGATACAATGAAAGGTAAGAAGAGTTTTTTGATCTCAAAGAACTCATATTTTAATGTACTAAAAGAACTAGTAGTACAGATGACTTTGAAAACATGTTCACATCAACATTCATTAATTTTTGTGAGATGGGCAAAGGTCAACTATTTATACTCACTGAGAGATGTGTATGCCTGCTAAGAGACGCTACAAGGAAATCTGCTCGTCCAAATAGACAAATGATGATATCAGTTTGTCCTCATATCTATTGACAATAAGAAGGCCATGCTGAAGGAAGATACTTCCCATTCCAACTCAAAATCTTACTGAGTCGTTGTTTGAACACATTCTGAAACACATTTTCTTTTTCCAAGCCTTAAGGGTATGTATTAACTGTTGCTTTCAGCAAGGGACAGAGATAGCCAGGTAGATATTGTGAAGCAAGAGGAAGCCCTAACACAGTGGGATCGGTACCAAATAGCCAATAGGGCAGAGGTAGCTTGGTGTGGTGGCTAAAGAGTGACAAGCAGGATCTACCTTCAAGCCCTGTCTCTGACACACACAGGCTATGTGACCCTGGGCCAAAAGCTCTCAGGGCTCCAAGAAACTACCTAAGATGAGAATTGCAGAGAAGGTGTCCATGTGCTTTTGCTAGACAAGGCCTACTCATTCTGGGAGTTCCCTGTAGAAATGAAATAATAGTTCTAGTCCCTATCACAATAGGGCAATGCATTGCAAAATCAAATATAAGAAACTATTTCAAGGGGTCCTCCTAAGCTCTGGTTTAAAGTTTTCAAGGTGAAGTATTCCAGGAAGTTAGCTAGTAGCTGGCCTTGGTTCAGCTCTGTCTTTTCAACGTTGCTGTTCCTTTCTTTGTCTATAGTACACACACACACACACACACACACACACACACACACACACAACATATGAAAGTCTTGCCTGTAAAGGGTTCATTCTAGCCCCATTCATCATCCTCCTTAAACATGGTTTTTTGTTTGTTTGACAGCTACCTAATTTTAGCCTAATAACTAGCAAGCCCTAAAGATCCCTCCAACCTCTGACAATGAGGAAAAGCCTACCCAAAGCCAAAAGGACCTAGCAGGCCCATGGCTCAATCTTTGAAGGACAGTCAGTTGCAAAAGCTAAGGATCAAGGGCTAATCTGGAGGAACA